GTGTAGAAAGAATTGCTAAGACAAGGCTTTTCGTGACTTTTAGACGAGCTATTTTGCAAAAAAACAACGTGAATGCAATTCCTCTTCCTCTGTACGTTAGAATTCACAGAATCACAGAATGGTCGGGGTTGGAAGGGACCTCTGTGGGTCACCCAGTCCAACCCCCTGCCCAAGCAGGGTCACCCAGAGCAGGCTGCACAGGACCTTGTCCAGGTGGGGCTGGAATATCTCCAGAGAAGGAGACTCCACAACCTCCCTGGGCAGCCTGGGCCAGGGCTCCGTCACCCTCAGAGGGAAGAAGTTCTTCCTCATCTTCAGCTGGAGCTTCCTCTGCTCCAGTTTGTGCCCGTTGCCCCTTGTTCTGTCACTGGGCACCACTGAAAAGAGTCTGACCCCATCTTCCTGACACCCACCCTTGAGATATTTGTAAGCATATATTAGCATATATTAGGATTCTTGCCATCCTTTCTCTGAGCAGCTCTTCATACCGACATATCTTGAAGTGACCAAGTGGAGGATGTCAGGAAAGGAACCACTGGTGAGAAGTGCTTCTCGCATCAGCCAGCTCCAGTTACTGCTTCCAGAGCGGCGCGTGGCCTCTTGGCTGAAGGAAGGGGTCTGGCTTTCCATCCTTCTTTTCACAGCACTTCTGCCTCGGTACCTGCTCTTGCCCTTGCTTCTTTCTCACTCATTTCCATACTGACAGCTCTGAATTAGCCCTGAGCACAACATTCAGCCAGCACGGCCCAAGTCTGAACCCGTCACGTCACCCAGAATGTCCTACCACATCTCCAAGCACGGCAGGAGCCCACGAAACTGCCCTACGAAACCACCCAAAGCATCGCCATCCCTGACAACCTCTGCAGGGCTGACACCGACAGCGCACCAGAAAGCGAGGGAAAAATCAACAGCACAGAATGACAAGACACCATATAGACTGAAAGATTCACATTCAGATGTATTTCTGTAAAAAACAGTCATTTTTCTGATTATTCCAGAGCCACCTCAGAAGATGCAGGCTGCCACCTTGCAGTGTCACAGAAAATAGACACAGCTTGCTTTACAGCACCGTGCACACCAGCCAAAACCTGGCCAGAAGGCACAAAAAGTGTAATAATGTGTAATAAACTCCCAGTTATCACCACTGATCCCAAAGTGTCACCGTTCACGGGCAGTGGGCCCACAGCTGGAAGCAAGTCAGCTGCACTGATCCCCCAGCACCTGGTCAGAGCCTACGCTGGACAGAAATGGAAGAGGAATGTCCCGCTGAAAGAGTGAGGATCTCCAAATGTGGGCTGATGGCGAGGCCCAGTCCCGCCATCCTGGTCTGAGCAGCATCGTCTTGGCAAGGGGAACAAGAGTCATAGAATCATAAGTTGAAAAAGACCTCTAAGATCAAGTCCAACCCTCAACCTAACACCCCCAGGCCTGCT